CAAGTTGAGCATGTTCCAGGTATGAAAGGCAGAAAGGGGCACATTGCATTGAAGGAATTGAGAAAAGAGAGTTGGGAGGTTATCACAGTACTTAGGGATGTGTTAGTTTCTAGGGCTGCTGTAGCACATTACCACTAATTCGATGATTCAAAATAATAGAAATTTATTCTCTCACAGTTCTGGAGGCCAGAAACCTGAGATCAAGGTGTTAGCAAGACCATACTTCCTCCAAAAGCTCTAAGGAAGATTCTGTTCCTTGCCTCTTCTAGCTTCCGCTGGCTCCATGCGTTCCTTGGCTTGCTTGGCTTGTTACCACATCATTCCAATTTCTGCCTCCCTCTTGCGAAGACCTCTGTGTCTGCGTTTCCTCTTCTGCCTGTCTCCTGTGTGTCTCTCACAGGACACTTGTCATTGGATTCAGGGTCCACCAGGGTCCAGGATGACCTCTTCATCTCAAGATCCTTAATGACATCTGCGAAGACCATTTTTTCAAATAAGGTCACATTCATAGCTTCTGGTAATTAGGACATGTACATATCATTTTGGTGTACTCTGATATGACCCACTACAGGGACATATCAGAATCTTGGGGAGTATGTATATAAGGGAATAATCTTTTTTTTTTTTTTTTTAGCAGATTTCTCCTGCTTCCCTGACCTAAAGTCTTGTTTCGTATCTGGTGAATAACTTAGACAAACCTTTCTAAGGTGGGTAGGTCTGATTAACCGCAAGGCTTTTGTTTTGCTGAGTGCAGAGCTTTGGGGCCAGAGCTAAACAATCAAGACCTTAGAGGGGACTCAAAAGGCCACATAGGGGAAGGCTGGAGAGAAGGGAGGGAACCAGTTGATAGCTAAAGAGAATTTAGGTTGTGAAATGTATTTATTTCTTCGACAAATATTTATCTCGAAAAGCCTGCTCATGCCAAGCTTTGTGCTAGGTGTTGGGGATGTGATGATGAACCAGATACACAGTAACTGCGCTCAAGTGTGGGGTCACTTTCCCTGTGATGGTCAATGTCAACCCTCTCCACACTCTCCCCACAAAAATCTTCAGCAAAAAATCTTTAGCGATCTGCTAATGCTTGGCAGACAAGCTAGAGGGAGGAGATGGGAGGAAATACTGTCTTCTTCCTGGGCTGGAGTGAAGCAAAGCCAGAGGTTTCGTGTGGTTTATATGCTCTAGTGGACCAGGTAGGGCTCTTTACGCATCCAGCATTCGCTTCCTCCTTCTTATGCAAGGGCACTTTTTTTTAGAAAACTCTCTCTCCCCCACTGTGGGCAGTTGAAATGGGACTGTCAAATGTTTTTCCCTGAATTCCTAGCCACAGGAGAGGCATGAGGTCCAAGCTGGGTCGATGAGACTCAGGATTTGAATCCTGAAGGGAGAGATACAGGAACAGAATGAAAAGTAGAGCTGGTTTAGCCCAGCAAGAGATGTGGCGAGGTCAGTGCCTGCTGCCTGGACTCCTGGTCCCCTTTCCATGTGAGGTTTCTCAGCAGGTCCTTGGAATCTGTGAGCTATTCTATATTCTTCCAATAAATTCCCTCTTTGCTTAACTTAGGCAGAGAGTCCTTTTGGTACTTGCCTGTAATCAAAGAACACCATCACTACCTGATGCATACCATCGTGAAAAGTCCCAACCCCTCCTCTCCAGTAAGGGGTCTGGGCACCTCGAGGGGAGAACTTCTGGTCTCGAGGTGAAGAGGGCCTGGCTGTGGAGACAGATGTATTTTATATCCTTAGAGCCAGGCTTACTACTTCTACATCAAGACGGTTATGACCAACATCCAAAGGCTTCCTTAGACTAACAGTGATTGCCCCTAATTAACAAGGACACTTACAGTATCAGTGCCAGCCCTCAGGAGAAAGCCAACACACTGACAAAGAGAGGAGATCGGATTCACCTGGGTCAGGTTAAGGTGTCAAATGACAACTTGAGCTTAGTAAACATTTCCTAAGTAACCTTTGCACCTTGCACCTAAATTCAATTCTGCAATCCCTGTGGGTCTTTCTGGCCCCAACGACATGACAGGGTTTCTCCTTCTTTCTAGATACATGTGCATTTGTACAGGCCACTGGGGAATTCCTCAGGGAAGAGAAAGCTGAGTTTATACTTTCAATTAACCTTCCCAAATGCTCTTGCCCACCTTCATTCTCTGCCAAGCCTCCCTTCGCCCAAATCACCCCAAGTACTCACATCCATTAGCAGATAATTACATATAGAAGCTGCTTTGCTGCCTTTTTTAAGAAAGTATTTTAATTTTAAGTCCATTTTTCCTGTTATCTCCAACCTCTTCTAATATCCTGTTTCAGGGGACTATGATTCCCTTATATGAACAATAACAAAAATCCTTCAGTGTTCCTAGGAGACCAGGCCATCAGCTCTCTCCCTAAGCAGGTCAAACTCCTATCCAATTTACTACCCCGTTCAAATTTCAGTTCAGTGCAACAAACACTAAGCACCTGTATGTGGCTGGCCTGCGCCATGCACTGGGAATACAGCCGTGAAGAACATGCAGTCCCTGTCCTGATGATGCTCACAGACCATGAGAGACATAAGCAAATGATCACAGGTGCGATGAGTGTCACAAAGCAGGTTCGAGGGTGCCAGTGGACCACATGGGAAGACATCTCACCTTGCCTTCAGGTCCAGATCCTCTCCTCGAAGAAATGATGTTTAAGGTGGGCCCTGAAGGATGGTGACAGAATCAAGAGAATTGCTTCGCCTTCACTGGGGCTTCCTGCAAAACTGTCCGCATTTCAGGAAGAGATCATATCCTAAAAGTTCATTTTAAAGTTGATGGGTTTGGAGCTCATAATGCATTTTTCCACAGAAACACACTTACAGATAGTAGCTAGGTTTCCAGGCTGGTCCATTAGCACATCATGATGTACATTGTGCCGTAAATAGCATCTTACCCAGCTTGTTTGTATGTCTTCCTCATTAAGTCCCAGCAATTTTTTCTCGGGGAGGTCCCTCCAATCCAGCCCCCAATCCCACTGCCTTGGTTCAGGCCGACCCTTCCTTTAAACCTGCACCATGGCAACCAGCACAAAACAGGGTCACCTTGTCTCCAGTTCCCTCTCTCTCCAGCCTTCTCCCCTTATTTCCCACAGGGCCTCTGGCCACATTTTAAAGACCAAATGTGAAGGCCTTTCAACGGTTCTCCACTGCCCATACACTGAAGTTCAAACTATGACACAAAACGTTTCTTGAGATAAGCCCCAATCTACCTTTCCAGCTCTGTTCCCTGCTACTCCTAGGTGGATTCTACTCGTCCAGCCACAGTTCTTTCTCAAAGTGTCCTGATCCTGCTGCTGTCCTTGCTGTTTCCTCCACCTAGAACAGCTTTCCTCATTTCAGCCTGGAATTGCCCATAAACCTCACAAGACCTAGCCCGTCCAAGACAATTTCTCACTTCTATCCTGGCAGACTGTCAGACTCTATTCTAATTACCTGTGTTCACTTATTCACACTTACGTGAGTCCCTACCGTGGGCCAAGCTGTCTGCTTCAGTAGGAAGAACCAGCCCCAAAGACAGAGGCCTTGTCCATTTGCATCTGCTTTGGCTTCCCCAACTTAAAAGCAGCAGCAGAGGTCTCAACTCAGACTTGGGTTCATATCTTGTCTTTGGCATCTTCTGGCTGCTTGACCTTTATCAAGTGACTTAACCTCCTTGAGTGTTAGGTTACCTTATCTGGAAAACATGGATACTACTACTTACTACTTATTTCACAAGTTGGTTTAAGCACTGGTTCCCAAAGCCAGCTGAATATCAGAATCACTGGGAACTTTAAAAATAGTAGCACATAGAATGGGAATGATTCAAGATATCTGCATTTTTTTAAAGTCTGTCAATTGATTCTTGTGTATAGCCAGATTAGAAAACCATAGATTGGAGGTTTAAATTATTCATAAAATACCTGCCAATATTAATTATGCTCGATACCCAGGTTTGTCCCTGAAAATGGGGCTCCTACCCTAACAAGAAGAATCAATATAAGGGGAGCATGTGAAAAAGCATCCTGGGCTTAAACCACACACGTAAGGAATCACATCGCAGGACACGGTATCCCTCCTCCAACTCCAATCACCAGTGCCATGCTGGAAAGCAAACAAGTAAACTGCCAGTAAACAGGTTTATTTGGCCCAACGTTCTAAGACACAGTGAAAGGACCAGAAAGAGAGCAGTAATGTTTTCCAAAGGTTAAGCTTTCTATTTTAATGCTAAGTTGCTGCTAAAAATGTAAAAGAAGGGCCTCAGAAGCAAAGTTGGCAATGAATGAGGATGTAGGCAACTGCAACATTGCTTATTAGATCAGTGTCATTCAAAAGATAACTTAGAACACAGTAATATTGGCAATGTGCTGCCCTTCAAAATAAGCAGCACCCTTCCTTTCTACTGTTTCAGTGTTTCCCCAGTAACAGAAGAGGGACGCACAACCCTGCTTCCTGTCACCCACCTTGTGGTGAATGAAGTGGACCTGCAGAAGGCCTTGGATAGATTTGGATGGTTCATCCTCAAGAAAAATAAGCCTCAGAAATGTCATGGCAATTGCTTTCTAGTCTCTCTCGGTCTTATAAGAAAAAGAGATTAAACTAATTTTATAGAGTTTCAGGACTCATAACCATGTGTAGAAGCTACAGAAATGCCATAAAGCATACTACAGTCAGATGTGACTCCTCACCCAAAGTTCAGAAGCATCCTGCTTCATTAAAATGAAAATCCAGGAATTTTGCTTCCAGGAATTAATCAGATATAATCCAACACATGAAAAAAATCATGTACAAAAGGTTTGCTGTATCTTAGGACTGAATAAGAAGGAATGAAAACAAACAAAACAAAACAAAAACAGAAAAGGTTTGCTATGTCACTCTAGCAGCAAAAAGAATACTGGATAGTTCCTAAATGCTCATTAAGAGATGACAGGTTAGGTAAATTATGTAGTATCTAAAAGAGACAGCAAAGCAGGGATATGGAAACTTAACACAGACAACCTTCAAGTTGTACATTTTAATTTACAATTTTTACCAATAAAAAGATTAGTTACAAAAGGGGAAGTTCTCTATACAAAATGATTTTTTTTTTTCCATTCATAAAGAGAATCCACTGTCATGCTTTGCCTTGCCAAGTCAAAACTCAAATAACTTGTTTTGGTAAAATTATTCCAGAAAGATGGGTAATCCAGACAAGATCAATAACATTACCAGCTTCCTAATTGTATTTAGGAGGAAGAATTTAATGAACATTTTGCCTTGAACGAAAGAATTCTAAATACTTGCAAACCTTTAGAAAAATGACTACTCTTAGGCAGCTGACTTGATAAGACAGCATACAAGAGATTGTAGCTCACTTACCATTAGAACCTTACACATACAATGAGTTTGCACTCCTGTACAATGGGTACACATACAACATAATAGTAATAATGGCTTCTAAAATTTTACAAGTAAATTTTATTGTGGCCACAGGTCAACAGCAGAACATATGACAGTTAAGGTTCAGACTCTCCCCACCTATTTTATCATATAAATTAAACATGGAGAGGTACACACAAATAAAATTTATTAAAAATGAGGAGTTGTTTTCAAATTCCCATTTCCTAGTATCACACACATCACTGTTTAAGAGTGACAGAAAGAGTCATACTGTTAGAGCACGTTTCCTGAAAAGAAACTGATCAAAATGTTCAAAGCCTTTTCAGTTGACTCAAGTATGGCAGCCACTCAACACTGCTCCTAGCAGTCTGCCTTCAGAATAAAAACATAAAATAAAATAACTGTGTGAAACACCATAGCCTTCAAAAAACTTTATTTGGTGATGAGCCAGGCTCTGATGGAAAAAGCCCACCTATGAAAAAGGAGTTGTGGGTATTTAAGCTGGTCTGATTCACAGAACTTGTACATTCATGACTCAAAATAATAAAGACCCTCAAACACAAATGATTCTAAAGCCAATATACCCCAAAATTATGTGATTCACTTAGATGTGCTTACATTAGCTTTAAAAAATGATCTGCACCTTCCTCACAATTAACTGAAGCACTTCACCAAAACACTGAGAGGGGAAAGTGCAAAAAAAATGACAATTTAAATAGGGCATGAGATTTCCTTCTCCACCTTACTCAATGAATGTGTTTTTAGAATGAGAATGAAATAGAACCAATGCCAAGGAGCCTCTCAAAGAGAGCATCTCCCTGTAGCCAATATGATTTGGAACCTCCTAAAACAATGCTCTAGGTTCACAAACCCACAAAGCCCCACACATGAAACGTAAAGAGATCACGTCTGCCAGGGTTTAACCTAACCCATGTTAGATGCAACTCCACTAGTTTTGATCACTTAACTCGGGGAAAAAACACCCAGTAACAACTCTCATATCTCGCTAATACCATCTGTGCCCACACTGACTCAGTGGTGCTTCTTTATAAAAACATCTGAAGAGGTGGCAAATGGTTGCAAGTGATGTCAGGTTGAAGCAATTCCAAAAGCTGAGAAAGCTCTTCATCCACTGCTTCTGTCTTCTCCCCTATTGTTACAGTTCTGCCACCAAAGGGGAAAAAATTATGTGAACAAGTTCTTTGTGACCAAGCCTTGGCAAAAGTCATTAAATAAGAGAGCTCATCAAAGGCAGAACCATTTTACGGACATCTTTTGGTTCTCCTCTACTTGCAGTTTGGAGGTCGGGAAAGTGGGAGGGAGGCAGGTGTGCAAGAAAGAGGTAAGAGTCCTTTTGACAACGGTTTGGTTACCCAACCCCAGACGCCCAGCTCAGAGCCGGCAGACTAGGACCTGCTAAAACCCATTATTCAGACGGAAAGGAAGAGAAGACACCAAAAAGTATAGTCAGTTTTGAAATTTGCACAGTTGATATTTGTTCTTCAAAGCAGTAAGGACTTGAATGAGAATCATGAAACTTGAGGAACACTTATATTTTTCTTCAGGATTTAAAAAATGTTGTCTTGTACTGAAAGACTACATTCAGTGAGGGTCAGGTCCAACAGCATTAGCTAGAACTCGGTTGTTAAGCGCACCCAGCACTGGGAGGAAACATGGTCTGAGAGGAGCAGCTGGAGGCCAGGCCGAGGCCACTCCTTCACTGGTCTCCAAGTCGAAAGCCCTGGCCCCAGTTATGTCTCCCACCTCCACCATTCTGATCAGCAGCTCGCCTCATGCTAGCAGGGGGCACACCAAATCCTGACACCCCTCCTCTCCTGCTGGGCAGCCAGCGGTACCTGGAGCAGAAAGAGGGAAAGACAAAGGGAGAGAAGAGAACAAAGTCACTTCCAGTTATGTGACCTCTCCCTATACTGGTGTTCTTGTGGCATCTGGCATGTTAAAGAAAGCCAGGGACAATGTCTTATATAACTTTGCCTTGTCTGCGCTTAGTGCAATGACCTGACCACAGATGGCACTTGCTTTATATGTTTCTTAAATTTATTAAGCTTTCAGCTAAATTCACAATGTAAACATCATTTTTCTGATTATAAAAGTAATCCCGTCTGGATGCAGTGGCTCTTGCCTATAATCCCAGTGCTTTGGGAGGACAAGGCAGGAGGACTACTTGAGGCCAGGAGTTTGAGACCAGCCTGGTCAACTTAGTGAGACCTTGTCTGTACAAAAAAAAAATTTTTTTTTTAATTAACGGGGCATGGTGGTACGTGCCTGTAGTACCAGCTACTTGGAAGGCTGAGGTGAGAGGATCGCTTGAGCCCAGGAGTTTGAGAGGCTGCAGTGAACTATCATCGTGCCATTGCACTCCAGCAGCCTGGGCAACAGAGCAAGACCCTGTCTCTTAAAAAAAAAAAAAAAAAAACAAAAGTAATCTATGTACAACAGCATGGAAACAGAAATATAACACCACAAGCCCAACCACCAAAAAACGACTGATAGCATCGTGGTATATCTAAATATAGATCAAACTAGATCAAAGGATACAAAATAAATTCACTTTCAAAGGACACACTCACAGCCTGTGTGTTTGAGCCCCAGGAGGCATTTCCACGAGGCTCTCAGCTGAGCCCATCGAGGGAGACTGGGGAAGAAGGCTTTCTGTCTTACAGGTTTGGGTACATTTTTATTCATAATGTGTCTTCCAGCTGCATTCTTCTCATCTCATAGATGGTAGGAAAGCCCAAAATGGTTAGATGATTTACCATCTTAAGAATTAATAAATTAAAAGCCACCGAACTAATAAAACGTAAATTAAAGTCTATTCTCTCAATAGCATTTTCCAACTACTATTTCCCACCCTTGACCATATTAGTAAACTTAGGATGTGTTTAAACCTATTCCACTTATCAGACCCTAATGTTTAAAATTTTGCTTGAAGGCCTAGAGCATGATCTGATACCCGTTTGAACCCCTCTCAGCACCAAGAGTAAGCCACGACAGGTGACTTGCCCACAGCAGAGAGCCTGAAGATCATGATGTTTTACTAACACAGTTACTATGTGAACTTACTCAATGAGCATTTACCTCACACCAGGCACTGCCTGTTTATAAATTCATCTGATCTTCACAACTCTGTGTGAGGTAGGCACCATTATTACTGCCATTTTATAAACAAGAAAACTGAGGCAAGATGGAGTGAAGCTCTTTGTAAGTCACCATCAGGATTTGCACACCCAGGCAGCCTGGCTCCGGAGCTTGCACCCTGCACTGCTTACTCCTGCTTGGACGGCATAGCAGTGGGATGACAGATAGTGACTATAGAGGGACAGCCCCCATTTGTTTACATCATACTTGATACCTTCACGTTCCTTCCCAAAAAAGATAATGACCCCTTTTAAATACAAAATTAACTGTGTACAGAAAAGATATAACTGCTTTTCCAAATGGAATGCAAAACACCTACACATCTTAGAATTCTACAACTCACCTCTTCACTTTTGAACAAACATAGCTTTATCATTAAATCAAAATCTATTTCCAAGCACTAGTTTCTCAACATCCAATACGTCTGGTACAGTAATATTCCTCCAAAGTACGTAATAAAATAGAACACTCACAAAAGGCAATGCTAGGGCTGTCTTGCTTTGCTACTTAGTCTGAGACAATACAGGAGCCATCTCCATTGCTTAAGCAGATAGGGAAATTAAATGCAAGTAATTAGAATAAAAAGACACCCAATTACACATAATCAACAAAAATTTATGGTGATTTCAAAGCAGTTATTGCTTTTGCAAGGAGCTACATTTTGTCATCTGATCTTTATGCAAAATTTAACAGAAGGGCTTCCACCAACAGAAAAAGCTCCAGTGGAAGACAGGCTCCAGCATGCTGCTGATTTTGCCACTAGAATCTCGGATGCACTTTGTTACCCACAACTGAGTAGTATCTACAAGCCGTTAAGTCAGAATATGGCCATTTAAAGTAAAGTAATTATTGGCTGCCCCCCAAAGCACCAAGCTTTTTTAAATTGATGCATCTGCCATCCTACTTGATAGACCTAGATCAGAAATCCAAATCTGCTGTTATTATGTCCTTTGATAATTAGAAAGCAGATTGGTCATTTGTTTTTTTTTTTTTTTAGCCTGAAGGCAACTCAAAGCTCAGAAGAGAAACAAGTTTCTTTTTATTCTCTTAAAGAAAAATATACATACACCCCAATAACACTGTACTTCTCTGTATATCACAGTTCACAATAAAAAAGTCTTTCAAAAACATACCCCTACACTATAAAAGAAGGTGGGGTGGGTAGAGAGGGCCTACTCAGGCTTTGCTGCCCTCACTGATCCCTTGGAAGAATGACAGAACTGCAAAACATTAAAATGAGCAGGATGTGAAAGGGTTTTTGGTGTTTTTTTTTTAAGCTTTTAAATGCAAGTTATTACTGCCTATCCCCCACATGAGATTAGGCTGATTGTCAGGCAGGCTGTGACACCCAGATGGTGATTTAACTCGTCCCTTCTTCAACAGCCTTTTGCCTCACTGACAGAATGGTCATACTACTTACATGCTTAAGTGTGCGAAGCGTCTCTTCGCAGCTCGTCAAACTCCCTCACCCCCACCTTCAAGAATCTGGTGAAGAGCTTTCATTTACTGAGTACCCACTACTGTGCCCCCAATAGTGCATCTTACCTCACGCAGTCCTGTGAGACAGGGCTCCCCCACAGCTTAGACTTGCAAACTGAAGCTTTCAGGTGTGATTAAGTAACATTCCCAACATTAAAGCTGGTACATGAGGGGAATGGGATTCATATCCAAGTCTGTCTCAAAAATCGAAGCTGGTGTCCTTAGCCTCCTCACTTTAGTAAATCCCATAAGCAGATAAAGAGCACATGCCCCCAGGAGGTTGGGACTGTACAAACTTCAAGTCTCTCATTTAAGCTTTGAACAGTCCTATAAAATTTCTGTTCTATAATATTTACTATACAAATGTTTAAAATACTAACCAACAAGCTAACTATCCCTTCCTTGGGCAAATTCATGGGTAAAACTGATGCTCCAAGAAAACACACCCTGTTATCCTGGTACTCTGCCATCCCTTAGACCAGTGCTTTGCACAATGTGTCGCAGCAGGTCCCTCAACCTGCTCAGCACAGCTGAGATACTTCCTGGGTTGTGAGCTAGTCATCAGTGGTCCCTGGCTAAAAGGGTGCCAGGAAGGAGACTGAGCTGTGGCTCTGATCCCTAGTTTCCTATGACTATGTAACTAGAGTAAGTCATTTGTTGGCTCACACTGCTCCATCAGACAGGGAGCTGCTATCAGAATGCATGAGAACATACGCAATAAAATGACTGCTAGATGAGGAGGAAAAAATACACTTACAAAAACTGAGGTGTGGATAGAAAATTTCTTCCTCCCAAGTCCATTGGGTATCTGAACATTAGGAAAAAATAAAGATGTCCAACAAGATTTCCAATAAGCTCATTGATCACCCTGCAAACAGAGAGCCAAATTAGTTTAAAGACATTCAAGCAATATAGTGGGATGCACCAAGTTTTAACTAATAGCACAGGGAAGAGATCCTCATTGCAGCCCATTTACAGTCCCTGGGAGTCTATGACAGCTCGACAATGAGCCTTTGTGTAGTCTGAGTGGCAAATGCTTTCTGAGGGAATGAGGAAATCGGTCCTGCTAAACCAACGAGGCCGAGACCCGCTGCTCTTTAATGCCAGCAGCCCCTCTGACATCTCTTTCAAGCACCAGCCCATCCTCAAAATATTGTTTTTTGCTAATTCCTGCTTCAGGAGCTGGGGAAAGCCAGCTTCTGAATGCTTTCAGCCATGAATACTGTGTTTGTAAAACATGGGCCAACATGAAGGCTACCGAGACAGAAGCGTGGGAGTAAGGAAAAGATGCACGATAAATGCCTGCTCTCCCTTCTTACAAGAGCCGCTAAACACTTCTCTCTCGTATCCTTCAGTGTAAGACACCACAGAGATCACTTAGGAAAGCTGACTTTCACCCTGTAATCCTAACATAAACATTGACCTTCTTCAGTTTTCCCATGGCTCACATATAGGTCTCCTCAAGATTTTATAGATCCACTGTTGCTATTACATATCCTTCTTTGTCTTCACCTGCAACATGATTCCTTCCAGGGTCAAATCAACTTCTGCAACTACTCCCAGCCTCTGCCCTTCTGGGTGGGAGAGCAGCTTTACCAAGCTCAGAATGTGCTATGCTCTGAACAGAGTCTGTTTGCCCCATTTATTCACTTCTCCCTATCAATATGCAGAGGAAATTAGGATCACACAGAGCAAATATGTGACAGATGAAGAACTAGTACTACTAAAGTCTACTAAAATATTGAAAATATTTTATTGTATAAGAAATGGGAGTTCTTGGAATAGTTGCATCTTGATATCTTCCCTTTAAAATTCTGACCGAGTAAATTAAAGGTTTTCCTAAGTCTCAGTGCTAATTCCAGACCAACAAACTAGAAATTTGACCCTGCTTGGCCAAAACTTCTGTCCTATCAAACCACTTACAAAACTACTCTCCATCCGAGAATCTGCATTTCTATGACTGGTCAGCAGTTTCCAAGGCATTCTGGAAATGCTTTAAGAATATAAGATCTAGTAATTTTATGTATAGCTCTTACAGAATCAACTCAGACTCAAATTAGGTCTATGTTTGCTCAATATGGATGGTGAAATATATATTTATTCAAACACACATATATAGAAGCATATTGTGTCTAATAATGAGCTAACAAAATCACAACTATTCACTGTTAAATGTGCTTAAAGCCCTGTAATTTAATAAATTACGTTGAAATGAAATTATTCCTTAAGTCTAAGGTTCTAACACAACAACGCTGAGATTCTTTAAAGTTTTATAAAGAGTAGAGAAAGACAAAAATTAATGAAAGTTTTCCAAGGATTCGTTTTCAATTAAATAAATGTAATATCACTTACGAGCCTCCAATGATATAGTTGAATCCAAGTATAACCCAAGGTAAATAACAGGCCTAGGAAAGAATATACACAGATGTAAATACCCACACCTAAAAAGAATATAGCTGCTACGGGGACTGAAATGGATAAGGATACACTGACAAGGGCTTTATACAAATCCTTTGAAAGATCACTGCAAAATTTCTCAGGTCAATCTAGCATCATTCCTACTGTATTTGAAACTTCCAATCTGAAATTATACTTCTTTGTATGTTTGTAACTTGAAGGAGAGAGTACTTTGCCCATAGTTTAGACACAATACATACTCTGCTAAAATAATATTAACAAACAGCTTCAAAAAGTAGATGAGTGTCCTACCGATGCTGCTAAAAACAAAGCCCGTAACAGAATCACGCTAGGATTCCAGCCAGCAGATTGTTACAAATAAACTAAAAATACCCCATCTTTTTAGGTTCTTCTTTTATATATCTCAAAAAATTACTTTGAATTTTTATTTCATTACACACTGATATCTATAAGTAATAATCTCCCAAGTAAAACACCTCTCCAGATGAATTCAACATTTGAGCCCCTTATCAAACTCAAGACATCATACCAAGAGCTAAGGGAGTTGCAGGGAACTTCACAAACTACTAAAGACAGGGTTATACCTAACCAACTTTAAGACTACATGTGGTAAGTACCATAAGAGGAACACAAAGTACTGCAAAAGCCCAAAGGCAAAAGTAATTCCAGGCAGGAGACTCAGGAAATAT